GAGGAGACATTGTGGACCATTTGTGCCAAGGAATGCGAGGGACTCCCTGCCTCCATCTCCACAGCATACTGCCACGGTGCGTCTGGGTCCTCTGTCTCCTCCTCCTCCTCTACCAGATGCTCCTGCTCCTCCACTCCTGTCCGCTGAGTGGAAAAACCACCCATTTCACTCAATAATTCCTGAGCACCAATGTCCTCCTCTACCTCCTCCTCTTCTTCCTGTCCTGTCCTGCCCCCACAGGGGTCATGTGGCGTTGAGATCTGTGCGCCACGTCTACCGCACCCTGACCAGCCATTGTTAACAGCATTTGTTCCAGGACGTGCAACAGAGGAATGACGTCGTTCATCCCATAGTCCTGCCGACTCACGAATAGCGTGGCCTCCTCAAAGGGCCTCAGCAAGCGGCAGGTGTCACGCATGAGCTGCCAATGGCTGACATCTAAGTTACACAGGGGAATACCTTTATCCGCTTGTAACATCAGGAAATCGGTGATGGCCTTTCGCTGTTCGTAAAGGCGGTCTAACATATGTAGGGTTGAATTCCACCTTGTTGCATTGTCGCAGATCAGGCGATGCTGTGGAATTCCGTTCTGCCGCTGCAGCTCAAGGAGGGTGTGCTTTGCGGTGTAGGAATGGCTGAAATGCATGCAAAATTTACGTGACATTTTAAGGATGTCTTGCAGTGGGATGGTGGATTTTAGGAACCGCTTGACAACCAGATTGAACACGTGAGCCATGCATGGCGCATGGCACAACCTTCCTTGACGCAGAGCAGACACCATGTTCTTTCCGTTGTCGGTCAACATGGTTCCGATTTTCAGTTTGCGCGGAGACAGCCATCTGTCGATTTCTCTGTTCATTACACTCAGAAGTTCCTCCCCTGTGTGACTACGTTCGCCAAGGCATACCAGGTGCAGCACAGCGTGACACCGTTGCGCCCTGCACATGTGATATGCCGGTCGGGTAATGGGACTTGGCACGGGGGTGGCGGCTGAGGACACGGCGGAAGAAGAGGTGGTAGAGGCGGACATCTTTGCTGGACCAAGGACGTGCAAACGTGGAGGCAAAAGCGGCGTGACCTGTCCAAGTTGCTGGTGCGGCTGTGCCGGCACCACGTTCACCCAGTGGGCCGTAAATGACATGTACTGTCCCTGACCGTAGTTACAGCTCCACACGTCGGCGCTGCCGTGCACTTTGGCAGAGACCGACATGCTCAAAGACTGGCCCACCATCTCTTCTACATGTGAATGCAGGGCTGGCACTGCCTTTTTGGTGAAGAAATGCCGGCTTGGCACTCTCCACCGCGGCTCGGCACAAGCCATAATTTCTCGGAAAGGTGCTGAGTCCACCACTTGGAAAGGGAGGGACTGCAGCACCAGCAACTTGGACAGGAGGACGTTCAGCTTCTGCACCGTCGGGTGCGTGCTCGCAAACTGTTGTCTCTTGGAAACGGATTCCAAGAAAGACTGCTGACGGAATCCGTGAAGAGGTGTAGCAGGAGAAGGAGCATCTGAACGAGCGGAAGATGCCAACGAGCGACAACTCCCCTCAGCAGAGGAGCCTTGACTGGCTGATAGAGGGCGATTGACGTCGGGTGACGGAGCAAGTAACGGAGCGGGTTATGGAGCGGGGGCTGGGGCAGGCAGAACCGCCGTATCTTTATCACGGTTTTCCCAGGCCACCGAATGGCGACGCTGCATATGCTGACGCAACGCTGTAGTCCCAACATTGGCCCCCTGGCCACGCTTGACTTTCTGGCCACATAGTCGACATACGGCTACGTTTACTTCCTCGGGCGGCTTGACGAAAAATTGCCACACCGCCAAGTAGGAAACTTTGCCCCCGCTACTCCTCACTGGCTGACTGCTACTTCCTCCATGCACACCTGCACCACTACTGGCCGTGGTGGTAGGCTGCAGTGGAGCTGGTGCTCTACTCCGTGGCCGTTTGGCTCCACTGACACTGCTGCGACCCTGCTGCCTCCTGGGCAACCCACCGACTGTTTTGCTCGCTGCCAAGCTGGCACCCTCTTCTCCTGATGATGCGGAAGCAATAGCCTGATGACGACGAGGCTGCCAAGTGCGATCAGCCTCATCATCATCAATTAGGGTCTCCGCCTCACTACTAGCCCCCTCGGCTGCGTGTGGGTCAGGAGACAGACCTGTCTCTAGACCGGCTACCGAGCCACTCTCCTCGCCAGTACTTCTTCGCCTGGCTGCTGAAGAGGCGGATGTCTCCCCCCGTTCCTGACCGCCCTCTGTTAGCTCTTCCTCACTGTACAGTGGGGCTGAGCCCACAGCATGCGATACTTCGCTTGGTGAGGGAACACCAAAGGACAGGGGCAGGTCGAGGACACGTGATTTCAGTGGGCTTGCTCCCGGGCCATGCCAACTAATGGTTGTGTCTGACGTACCCACCGACCATTGGCTGTAGGTGTCAGAGGTGACCTGGGATGAGGAAGACGACCGAGTCAACCAATCGATGACGGCAGGGTTGTCGGTGGAGACACAACCGCTGGATGACACCGGGAGCACTGGCCTCTGGCTGCGACTAGTGCTGCCTCGACCCCTTCCTCTGCTGCCACGTCTGCTCGCTCCTGAAACATTACCTCCTCTGCCACTCCTCTGCGTGTTGTCTGACATACTCTTTAATTCAATAAGCACCCCAAAAAATAAAACCGGATTTAACTCTTTGAACGTACAATAGTGGTTGTGAAGCAGAAAGTCAGTTTATTTAGCACAATCGGTCAATTGCAGCTTGCCGTTGGCTGGAAGGAAACTGTACGTTTATGTCACTGGAATGCACTAATCACCCAAAAAATATTACTGCCAGCCGGCGTGTAAATGGATTTAACTCTTTGAACGTACAATAGTGGTTGTGAAGCAGAAAGTCAGTTTATTTAGCACAATCGGTCAATTGCAGCTTGCCGTTGGCTGGAAACTGTACGTTTATGTCACTGGAATGCACTAATCACCCAAAAAATATTACCGCCACCCGGCGTGTAAATGGATCTAACTCTTTGAACGTACAATAGTGGTTGTGAAGCAGAAAGTCAGTTTATTGTACACAATCGGTCAATTGCAGCTTGCCGTTGGCTGGAAACTGTACGTTTGTGTCACTGGAATGCACTAATCACCCAAAAAATATTACCGCCAGCCGGCGTGTAAATGGATTTAACTCTTTGAACGTACAATAGTGGTTGTGAAGCAGAAAGTCAGTTTATTTTGCACAATCGGCAAACTGCAGCACCAACTGTGCACGACAGCCACCCAAAAAAAAAAAAAGGGTGTATGTCACTTTAAATTTTCGATTCTTTGATAGCTGTGGCCCTAAGTAACGATTCTGTGTCCCTGAGTAACGATTCTGTCTGGCCCTGAGTAACGATTCTGTGGCCCTGAGTAACGATTCTGTGGCCCTGAGTAACGATTCTGTGGCCCTAAAGTCTCTGTGGCCCTAACTCTGTCCCTTAATACACACAGGTCTGTCTCTCTTGAATGACCGGAGGCTAATGGAGAATTCTAAGATGGCCGCGATTTATAGCTCCACCATTACACAGTGCTGGCTGGCTGCTGATTGGCTAATGCGATCACATGTCATAAATGCATTATGGGTCAGCGCGCCTTGTCTGCGCGCCTTCCCAGAGATCCCCGCCCCATCTTCTCTGTCCATTTTCTCCGTCGCCACACATGTCGCCGCCATTTTTGCGAAAATTCGATTCGTGCATCCGAAGTTTGCTAATCTTCGGATTCGTCGTCGCGAATAGAATTTTTCCAAATCTTCGGAACGAATTTCACTTCGTCATGTTCGATTCGCTCATCTCTATTTGTGAGCATTAATAATTTTAGTATATATTAAGCAAAAATATAATATTAGATAAAAATGTGCACATCTATCATAATCAATAGCACCATGTTGTTATTCTCCTGGTCCTATTGTTTCAGAAAATGTATGCTTGGGCGGGGATACATATATATTGGTACAATTGAGTAAATAAAATCTACATTTATGATAGAGATGGGAGATATAATAAAACTGAATCTGGTGCAGCTGTGCATAGTAACAAATGAGTTTCTAGGTTTTATTATCAAAGCTTAATCGAAAAAGCTGAAGTTAGAAGCTGAATAGCTAATATGAAGGGAGAGGAGACAAGCATGTAGCAGTTAGAATAACTTTAATATAATTTTAAGAAATGCACTTGTAAAAGCATGTAGCATTACTGTAAATCCCTGCCATCAAAAGGTCACGGTCCAGGTCCGCCTGATATTGGAATACTCTGCGGTCCAGCTGATTGGCAGTGCTGGAGGCTCCCAGGGCTTCCTGATTACTGTGCAACGCTGTCTCGAGTGGAAGTGATCTCAGGACCGGACGTGATGGAGGAATGTGGTGACACATTTGCGGAGCGTGCGCTCCTTCTTCAGGCCATGTAGGCGCCTTTTCTTTTATGGGCAATATTGATAACGGTCGGCGGACTACAGAGCCCAGGGGCCGCACATTTAAACAATACAAATGATCAAACAACAACATGCATTACATTATCCACCTCCCGCCCACCATATAGTCCAATGACGGGCGCAAGGTGGTTCTCTCATTCTGGGAGGACGTCATATGACGTCCTCCCATTCTCACTGCGCATGCGCGGCTCAGGGAGCGTGCGGCGATCGGCGGTGCACTGTGTCCCTCGGACACAGCGGATCATCGATCTACGGAAAGAGCCGAAGATGTCAGCTCGGTCATGTGATCAGCTGTGTCCAATCACAGCTGATCACATGTGAACAGGGAAATGCCAGTTATCGGCATTTCTCTCCTCACGAGCTGTCACTCTGACAGCTCAAGAGGAGAGGAGAGCTGGTATTCGGCATTCCGCGGAGTGTGCCCTGATGATCAGTGTGGCCCCAGAAGTGCCACCTGTCAGTGTCTATCAGTGCCAACTGCCAGTGTTGAACAGTGCCACGTGCCAGTGCCACATCAATGCCACATATCAGTGCCTACCAGTGCACATCAATGCCACATATCAGTGCCCATCTCAGCTGCCTTTCAGTGTTACCCATCAGTGCCAGTCAGTGCCACCTATCAATGCCAATCAGTGCCACCTATCACTGCTGCCAATCAGTGCCACATATCAGTGCCAGTCAGTGCCGCCTATCAGTGTGTGTCTCCCAGTCAGTGCCGCCTATCAGTGTGCATCAGTGTCTCCTATCAGTGCCAGTCAGTGTCGCCTAACAGTGCCAGTCAGTGCCACCTAACAGTGCCAGTCAATGCCGCCTATCAGTGCCAGTCAGTGCTGCATATCAGTGCCCCGCCTATCAGTGCCATATATCAGTGCTGCCTTTCAGTGTCCATCAGTGCAGCCTATCAGTGCCCATCACTGCAGCCTCATTAGCGCACATCAGTGGTTTTTGGTTTGTTTAAAAAAAAAGAAAAACCCAGAGGTGATTAAATACCACCAAAATAAAGCTCTATTTGTCACCAAAAAATGATAAAAATTTCATATGGTTACAGTGTTGCATGACCGCGCAATTGTCATTCAAAGTGTGACAGCGCTGAGAGCTGGAAATTGGCCTGGGTGGGAAGGGGGTATAAGTGCCCTGTAGGCAAGTGGTTAAAATGATGAATCAAAACATAAAAATTACAAAATAAATAAATAAAACACACTTACTATGCACAGCTGCACCAGATTCTGAGTACTCCAGTTTTAGTAACCCCCTAAAATGGTTCACAGAAGAAAATGTGTATTTATTGTTCTTTGGAGATTGTATGTAATTTATTGCACTATTTTTTTTTCACTAGCACTTTACAGGTAACATTGGTTATATTTGTATATAGGTTTTGTTGTACATATATTTATATTATGTAACCAAGATAGAGAACAAAGGGACATGACCTCAAACTAACAGGAGGAAAGTTCAAAACTAATCTTAGAAACAGGGGCGGACTGACAACTCATGGGGCCCCTGGGCAATAGGGGATCATGGGGCCCCTGTGTCCTTGCCCACACTCAAAAAAGCCTATAAAAAAGGTACCAGGGGCATTTCATGGGGCCCTCTACTGACCCCGGGCCCTCGGGAATGATCAGTCCGCAACTGCTTAGAAAATATTATTTCACCGAAAGAGTAGATGCTGCCTGGAATAGATTTCCAGTAGAGGTAGTGAGTCAGTCAACAGTAAGTGGCTTCAAACATGTTTGGGACAAACATAGGTTTAGATTCAGGCAAAAAAAACAAATATGAGTTTGTTAAAAATGAGGCAGACTCAATGTCAATGGACCACTTTCTCTGCCATCACTCTATGTTTCTAGGGTAGTAGATATACTTTAGCCCAGTTTTACTTTTTTTGCATTTATTTGAATACTTTCACCGATGCTTTTGAACAGCTGCTGTGCAGGAGACTAATATATTTAGTTTGTTTAAATGCAGCATATTTAGAGTATAGACAATTTAACATTTACAAATATTTTTTATTTATTAACTTGACACAGTTTTGGGTTTTAGATTTAGTAGGAATTCAGTCGAAATTGTATAAGCAGTGTTGTGTCTGTGAGAGCTAGTAAAGATTTGGTGCATTTTTATCAAAAATATTGTTTTGATAAACATTTGCAAAACTATCACAGGTCCTACAAAATCAGTAGCACCATGTGTTTACTCTACTAGCCCTATGGTTTGGGGGTGTTTTATAAACTCTGGACACTGAAAGTGAAAAATAAAAAAGGGAAAAATTGTGTAAAGAGACACACTGTCCACAATGGGGAAAATCACCACTGACCACCAATTTTATGTGGGTCTGACCACTGATCACCAACATTAAAGGGACACACACCACTGACTATAAATATTTAAAGGGGAAATGCTCACAACTAAAATCTGCAAGCTGTTCTTTGCATTACATAGTCCTGACCCCTGCACTCTGACTGCAGCACTATATATGCTATGTCCTCAACTAAACACTAATATAAACAAATCTGGAGGTATTTTAAGACAAAGTATTAAAAAAATGTAACGGTTATTAAATAGCACCAAAAGGAAGCTGTGTCTTTCAAAACATGATATACCATTCGTACAGTGTTGACTGCCAATGTGTTTGTCAGTCAAACTGTCACAGCACAGAAAACTGAAAAATGACCTGGTAATGAAAAAGTATGCAAAGGCTACTACTCCATTGCTTAAAGTCAGTCTTTATATGTAACAACATTTGCCCCTTAACAGCTTTCAGCTAATATTTTTAAATGCTGAAATCTTTAGGTCTTCTTCATTATTTTTACAATTTGTGTTTAAAACTTCAAATTTATGTTGCATAAATGTTCTAATATACATGAAAAATAAATAAACCAACACAATTGTGGTTGCTGATGTAACAATATTTTTTTCACTGTAATTTAGAAATGGAGGAGCAAAGTTGTTTTATTTATTTCTCATGTGGGTATGATAGGTGTGACACACTTTTATGCTAGCAAGTTTCCAGTAGAATTTTAGTGTCTCAGCAAATCACTGTGCAGGGATATACATCTACATAATATACATGAAAGCCACACTGCCTTATCAAGGCCCCTTTGTTAAGTGTAGTCCATAACTCTATTGAGGGAGCTCCCTTCTTGTGACATATGCATACACTCACTGGCCACTTTATTAAGTACACCTGTTCAATTGCTTGGTAACACAAATTTCTAATCAGCCAATCACATGGCTGAAACTCAATGCCTTTAGGCATCTAGTCGTGGTGAAGACAACTTGCTGAAGTTTAAAATGAGCATCAAAATGGGGAAGAAGTAGGATTTAAGCGACGTTGAACGTGGTTGGTTGTTGCCAGATGGGCTGGTCTAAGTATTTTAAAAACTGCTAATCCACTGGGATTTTCATGCATAACCAGGGTTTACAGAGAAGCAGCTGTGTGGACAAAAATGCCTTGTTGATTTCAGGATTCAGAGGAGAATAGGCAGATGGTTCAAGATGATAGAAAGGCAACAGTAACTCAAATAACCACTTGTTACAACCAAGGTATGCAGAACACCATGTCTGAATGCACATCATGTCAAACCTTGAAGAAGATGGACTACAGCAGCAGAAGACCACACAGAGTGCCACTTCTGTCAGCTAAGAACAGGAAACAGAGGTTACAATTCACAGAGGCTCACCAAAATTGAACAATAGATGATTGGAAAAACGTTTCCTGATCTGATAAGTGTCGATTTCAGCTGGGACATTCAGATGGTAGGGTCAAACTTGGCGTAAAAAACACGAGAGTATGGATCCATCCTGCCTTGTATTAGCGGTTCATGGATGTGCAGCCAACAAATCTGCAGCAACTGTGTGATGTTATCATGTCAATATGGACCAAAATCTCTGAGCAATGTTCCCAACACCTTGTTGAATCTATGCCATGAAGAATTAAGGCAGTTCTGAAGGCAAAAGGAAGTCCAACCTGGTACTAGCAAGGTGTGCCTAATAAAGTGGCCGGTGAGTGTATATCAATGAACAAATTGAGGACACCTATGCTTACAGGTAGCCCATTCCTCCTTAAGCCTTGGTTCAGACTGTGCAGGCTAGGCTGCAGGTGTGGGTATCGCGTCTGTTCCAGCACACTCAACCACCCACAGCCAAATTGTGCTCGTCCTTCAAGATTAATTCTACATGGCACTCCCACGTATCTCATCCTGCAGCTTGTTTATGGGTGCGGGAACCACAGGGAAATCACATGGTCAAAAAAGACCATGCAATTTCCCTGCGGCAGCATTTTTAAAAAGGTGCATGCACCTTTTTTTTTTGCAGAAAATGCAGACATGGCAGCCCCAGGGGCGGACTGACCATTTGGAAACTCGGGCACTGCCCGTGGGCCCAGGGTCAGTAGGGGGCCCCATGAGATGACCCTGGTACCTTTTTCATAGGCTTTTTTGAGTTTGGGTAAGGACACAGGGGCCCCATGATCCCCTATTGCCTGGGGGCCCCATGAGTTGTCAGTCTGCCCCTGGGCAGCCCATTCAAATGAATGGTCTGTCATGCCCGCATAAGTGTGGGTACAGAAACACACTTATAGCCCAATATTGAACACCTTTGGCTGAATCCTGCTTGTTGCCTGGCACCCATGGCTGATTCTTGCAGATGGCTTAGACCTAGTAGCAGTACCATTGTTTGCTCATTGCAGCTTATCTATTTTGTTTATTTGTTGAAAATATAAAGATTTCTTCAGTTAAAAATTTTAACTGAGAACTATTCAGAGGCCAAAAGTACCCTTTTAACATATAATAATAAATATTTCATCATCAGGCCAAAAGCTGCGAAATGAAAGCTGGACATGCCTTGATAGTATTTTTCATTCAGTATGCAGAATGAATGGACAAATCTCCCACTGTGCCCAATAGCGGCAACATCTAATTGGATGCGGCAGCTTTTTGGCCAAAAATGTTCTTCCTGACTGCTTGGATTATTAAATCAAGGGATTGTGGGTGGAAGGTAGCCAACAGGGCCATCCACTGAGTGAATTTCAGCTGTTTTTTTTTTTTTTTAGGAACTGGCCCACATTTGTGCAGTGTATGGCCAACCTTAGTGGCAATTCTAAGTCAGTGACACCCGAAAACAGCCCCAAGGAAACTATTCGGAAAGAAATCTTTTCTAATCACCATAGCTCCCTCAAGGATAAATCATATGTCACCCAGAGGCTCTCTCCTCCCTAGATAGGCTACTGTAAGCTTGGCTGAAACAAATTTGCAAGTTTTATCGTGGCCTGTAGTGTTTTTACTTGAGGGATGATCCCGTTATGACTGCATATCCAACCACCCAATTAAGTACTCAGGCAGCCTAATTGAAGTTGTCTGTTAGACCATTTCTTTTAACAAGTGTCTTAGTGGTTGTAGTGGTTTGTTGTCTTTCCCTCATACCTTTGGGTCACTTAAATAAACAGCCTGTCTTTTTTAGAATAAAATAGTCCCCAGAAGACCCATTCTGATTGATTTGAAGTCCTACAGGAGACATTGTTAACATCTTATTTACTTAAGTGACAGTTTTTATACCAGAAGGCGCCTGCATTCCTTTTTCAGCTACAAACACTGCTCCCTCTCCCCCTTGCCCTGGCAGTCAGCCCTATTCCTACACCTCACAAGACCACTGTCTCAAAACTTGTCTGCTATACATCTTTGTTATGGGGTCTCTTTGGGAAAATATGCTCACAAAACAGGATTGCTAAGCAATGAGTTTGTAGTAATACTTTGAAGTGTAAAATACAAGCATCTAATGAATAAATCAGCATACAAACAAGGAATCTGAATGAAAGTGGTTGGTACTTTTATATTATTTGATGCAATTGCACATATTTTACTTCTGCGGGAAAAACAATCAATAGAAACCTTTCTTTCGTATAAAAAATACTTAAAATTGGTTCTCAAAATACATTCTAATATTATAGTTGCCTCAAATGTTATGTTTTTTCTATAGTTTAAAGTGATGCGTCCTCCATTAGGAGATGTACATTAACAAGAGTGCACAGCTTAGATATAAATACGTAACTGCAAACACTAAGGAGTAGCAAAATAGAGGGCTGAAAATACAGATGTCATTGAATATAAGAGCTAGTCTACATTGCTGTCACAGACTATGGTCTATGGTGTCAGGGGTGGCAAGAAGTCACCCATATATCATATTGCTGATTGTCATCAAGACATTACTATGATTAATTTGTCTGGGCCTTTGTTGTTTCTAAGTCAGCAAAGTTAGCAAATTTTTTATGCAGTAGTGTCCTGGTACTACAAACAAGAAATCTGAAAAAAAAGCAGTTGGTACGTTTTGATTTTTTTAATGCAATTGCACATTTTTACTTGGACCAGAAAAAACGATCAATAGAAACCATTTTTTTGTAAAGATTATTTTACATTTGTTTTAGAAACACATTGCATTACATTTTACAGTTTTCTCAGATGTGATGTTTTGTTTATAACCTCAAATGTTATGTCCTCTATTAGAAGATGTTTGCTGTACCTTAACAGGAGTGTATCGATGAGATATAAGTAGTTGCCAATACCAAAGAGTAGCAAACTAGAACACAGATGTGATTGTATGTGTAGCACTACCCTCTTAGGAGTTGCTGAGTTTTTGGGTCCCGCTATAGTCCTGCACAGCCAGGAAGCATGCTTTTTCTTCAGACCCTGCACACTGGAGACAGTAAACAGTCCTTGAGCTTGTTTTTCTTTTGTTTTATTAAGGGGTATTGAACTTGAATAGGGCTGAGAAATGTGTCACCCCCCTCTTTTTTCTTTTTTGGTCTTGATCTCTTAGATTGTAGGGCCCTCCTAACCCTCTTGTATTGAACTGTGTGGTTGCTGTATTGTCTCCCTTTATATTGTAAAGTGCTGAGCAAACTGTGCTACATAAATCCTGTATAACAATAATAATAATAACATAGCCAAGAAGAGGGGGTAATACTTATCGTATTTTACTCTAGTGTGAGGTATGGTGGATTCATACATTCAATACTAGGGTTCCCTTTGGCTTAAACAGCAGGATGGACATCAGTCTTTTTCTGAAATAAACATAATGTATCTCTTGAGACAAATCATATGTCTTTGATAATTAAATCTCTTCTGACAGTGGCAGGTGTAATAAAGTTTCAGTTGTCCTTATTTGGAATATCTGCCTGCACTTTATATCATTTTAAATATCTGTTTCCTGTATTAGTGAGACTGATTTCTATTACTGTTTAGTTTTCTTTGGTTTCATTGCCATCTGGTACTAATTAACCAATGAATGTTTTTAATTAGGATGATGCTGCCCCCTATATTGGGGGGCTGTTTTTGTTAGAAATACTTGTATTTTATTTGCCTTATATATGCTTTGAGGAAGGCTTTGGCCGAAATACGTCAGCTTTTATGGATCATGTTATGTCCGTGATGTACTAATAAAGAACTCATGAAGAAGTGATCGTGTTGCCGGCTATGTCTTCATATGTTCAATGGTAAACTGTATTCTTACTTTAATATATAAACAAAGACTAGGCCTTTTTAAGCAATGTGATGTGGACTGATGAATTAAAGATAGAGTTGATTGGTCACAGTAACTGTGTTTGGCACAAACCAAAGATGGCTTTAACCACTAGCCTACAGGGCACTTATACCCCCTTTCTGCCCAGGCCAGTTTTCAGCTTTCAGCGCTGTCACACTTTGACAATTGTGCGGTCATGCAACACTGTACCCATATGACATTTTTATCATTTTTTTTTTAGACAGATAGAGCTTTCTTTTGGTGGTATTTAATCACCTCTGGGTTTTTTATTTTTCGCTAAACAAACCAAAAACAACTGAAAAATTTTGAAAAAAAAACAGTTTTTTTTTCTTAGTTTTTGTTATAAAATTTTGAATATAAGTGATTTTTCTCCTTCACTGATGTGCGCTAATGAGGCTGCTGTGATGGGCACTGATGGGCACTGATGAGGCACTAGTAGGTGCCACTGATGGGCATTGACAGCCATCACTGATGGGCACTAAAAGGCAGCACTCATATATGGCACTGATAGGCGGCACGATAGGCGGCTCTGATAGGTAGCACTGACTGGCATTGATAGGTGGCACTGACTGGCACTGATAGGTGACACTGAAAGGCAGCTCAGATGGGCACTGATATGTGGCATTGATGTGCACTGGTAGGCACTGATATGTGGCATTGATGTGGCACTGACAGCTGGCATTGATGAGCACTGACAGGTGGCACTGCTGGGGCTACACTGATTATCAGGGCACACTGATCACCAGTGCCCTGATGATCAGTGTACATGTCCCCTCCGAGGAATACTGATTACCGGCTCTCCTCTCCAGCTGTCACATGACAGCTGGTGAGGAGAGAAATGCCGATAACCGGCATTTCCCTATTTACATGTGATCAGCTGTGATTGGACACAGCTGATCCCATGACCGAGCCGACATCTTCGGCTCTTTTCGTTGATCGGTGATCTGCTGTGTCCGAGGGACACAGCGCACCCCTTCCTCCCCAGTGCCATTATTACAGTGTCAGTGTTTTTTTTTTTTTTGCACTGATCACTGTATTGGTGTCACTGGGGATGTCAGTGACCCCAAGTCAGTCCCCCCCAGTGTCAGAATGTCTGCCGCAGTCCTGCCACCCGTACTTCCCCATTGACTGCCCAACCTGGAATTCAGGTGGAAATAGCAAATTTAACTACTCCCCTTGATTTTTGGAGCTGTTTTTCACGGAATATCTGTAAGCGTTGATTGTGGATCAAAGCAATTTATATGCACAACAATTTATCGCTGCCAACCCAAATTCAAACCTTGCCAGACCAGTCGCATGAAAACTCATTACGGTTTTTGAATTTACATTATTTTGGGACTAACCCTCAACATTGGCATTACTAAAAAAATGAATTGAGGTTGTATTGGTCCGCAGACCCGATTTATCATATGTGTTCTCTGCTGCCATGGCCAGGCAAAGATATGAGAGTATAATGTGTTTTATGCATTTCAACAACAGTACACCTCGAGGTAATCCTGAATTTGACCGGCTCCACAAAATTCAGCCCCTTGCAAATCACCTTAACCAAAAATTTGCAGATGTCTATACTCCCCAGCAAAACATCTGCGTTGATGAGTCCCTCATTAATTTTTCTGGCCGCCTTGCATTCAAACAATTTCTCCCCTGCAAGCGTGCCAGATATGGGGTCAAGATGTAGAAGATCTGTGAGAGGACAACAGGCTATACTTATAAGTTTTGGATTTACGAGAGAAAAGATAGTCACGAGGAGCCCCCCAGGATGCCCAGATTACATGGGGAGCAGTGGCAAGATAGTTTGGGACTTGGTGTCATCCTTTTTCCATATGAAGTACCACTTATACGTGGACAATTTTTATTCAAGCATGCCACTATTTAAACATTTGTTCAATCTTGGAACTGGCGCTTGTGGCAAAGTGTGACCTAATGTGTGCCCACCATTAGAAGTGGGTGGATGCAGGGCGATATATTCTAATGGTGGGCGTACCACACACTTTTTTCTGGCAGAGATTTCTTCTCATTTTTTCATTCAGTCCACAGGCTGCATACAAAAAAATAAGAACATAGTATATACACCCAACAAGGATCAGCAATGTACTGGTACATCACTGGACTTTGAATAGTTATACCAGGATGATGCCTACAGCTGCAGGCATCATCGTTTTTCTCAGCCGGCGATCGACTTTCATGTAAAAGCAATCCTATTGGCTAATTAGCTGCAGGATTGCTTTTACAAGCAGCGGGAGATGATGACCCCCCTCCCCCGTTGCCTTCCACGGCCTTCTTGGGCAGTCCCGTGCTATCGGGGGAACCTGAGAATGCAGCCAGTGTTTCTGCCAGCTGACCATAGAGCTGATTGGAGTCCAGTGGGGTGTCAATCATCTCTATAGTCTAAGAATTCGGAAGCTACAAGCCTTTCATCACTTCAGTTTTGCGGGATATAAACAGCGCCATTTGTAAATTGGGAAAGCATCTGATCACACCGATTTTGGTTTGATTAGATAATGTAAGGGCAGAGGAGATATCCAGAGTCTGATAGACCCCAGATTTCTCAAAAAAGAATATATGATAATGGCCATTGAAGTTATAGGGGATATTTGCATTCCATGTGAAAGCATTAAAAGTGATAAAAAAAAATGAAAGGTACAGTGTAGAAATAATAAAAAAAAAAACAAAAAAACTAAAAAAAAAAAAAAAAAAAATCGCCCCTCCCATGCGCGCACACCTGTGTGCACAAGCCTTGACCCTGTGCCGCTATGTAAACAGTGATTGCACCATGCATGTGAGGTATTGCCGTGAATGTCAGATCAAGGGCAGTAATTCTAACACTAGACCTCCTCTGTAAATCTAAAATGGTAGCTTTTAAATGCTTTTAAAGCGTTGCTTATGGATATTAAAATGTATGCAGTTTGTCGCCATTGCACGGGGCATGTGCAGTTTTATAGCATGTCATGTTTCGTATCTATTTACTCGGCATACCATTATCTTTTATATTTTACCAAATAATTGGCCAATATATTGTGTTTTTATGCATTAAAAGTAAAAAAAGTGTATTGTTTTTTTTCAATTTGCATTTGAAAAATTGCTACGCGAGTACTATGTGCCATAACAAATTGTAGTACCCACCATTTTATTTATTAGGGTGTCTGCTTTAAAAAAAATATATAATGTTTGGGGTTTAAATTAATTTCTTAGCAAAAAATACTGATTTTTTTTCATGTGAACAAAAAGTGTCAGAAAAGCCTTGGTCTTCTGCTAGTTAGAAGAGTGAATGATGTGTGGCATAAACTTCTAATGCTGGGCATAGAATGCCCCCACCCCCCCAAAACGACCCCTTTTTGGAAAGTAGACACCCCAAACTATTTGCTGAGAGGCATGTAGAATTTATTTTTTACCACAAGTTTTTGGAAAATGACAAAAAAAAAATATTTTTTTTTACACAAAATTGTCATTTAAACGATTAACTGCTCACACATGCCATGGGTATATGTGGAATTACTCCTCAAAATACATTCTGCTACTTCTCCCGAGTATGGGGGTACCACATGTGAGAGACGTTTTAGCAGTCTAGCCAAGTACAGGACCCCAAAATCCAATAAGCACCTTCAGGCTTTTAAAGGCCTTTATTTCCTCATTACACTTCCAGACTACCTATCACAGTTTCGGAGACCCTGAAATGCCAGGATAGCACCTAAACCCCCCCAAATGACCTCTTTTTGGAAAGTAGACACCCCAAGGAATTTGATAAGAAGCATGGTAAGTATTTTGCAGATCTCATTTGTTGCCACAAGTTTTTGGAAAATGAAGAAAAAAACAAAAAACATATTTTGTCTATTCTTTTTTTATATTTCAAAACCTTGTGAGATAAAATGAGATCTGCAAAATACTCACCATGGTTCTTTTTAAATTCCTTGGGGTGTCTACTTTCCAGAAAGGGATCATTTAGGGGGGTTTGGTGCTATCCTGGCATTTCAGGGCCTTCGAAACTGTGATAGGTAGTGAGGAAGTGTAATGAGGAAGGCACCTTCAGGCTTTCAAAGTGGTCATTGGATTTCAGACTCCTGTATGTGGCTAGGCTCCCAAAAAGTCTCACACACATGGTATCCCCAAACTTGGTAGAAGTAGCAGAATGTATTTTGGGGTGTAATTCCACATATACCCATGGCTTGTGCAGGAAATAAATCATTTAAATGACAACTTTGTGTAACAAAAACTTGTGGAACAAAATAAATCTTCCATGGACTCAATATGCATCTCAGCAGATAGCTTAGGGTGTCTACTTTCCGAAAAGGGGTCATTTGGGGGTGTTTGTACTATCTTGATATTTTAGCACCTCAAGAAATGTGATGGGCAGTCAGAAAGTAAAAGCTGTGTAAATTCCATTATCTATACCATAGTTTGTAGACGCTATAACTTTCACACAAAGCAATAAATATACACTAACTGGGATAACCAAAAACATGTAGCAGAATGCATTTTGGCCTAAATTTATGACAAAATTTTAGTTTTTTTGGGATATTTTTTATGACTGAAATGAGAAAATATTGTCATTTTTTTTTTTTCAAAAATTTTATTTTTCTACAAAATTTTTCTGTTTATAAAAATAAAAAGCGCACAGGTGATCAAATACCACCAAAAGAAAGCTCTATTTGTGTGAAAAAAAGGACATAAATTTCATTTATGTACCATATTGCATGTCTGCGCAATTGTCCGTTAAACTAGCGCAGCGCTGTATAGCAAAACAATGGCGTAAATTGCAGTATCTATAGTTTGTAGACGCTATAACTTTCACACGAAGCAATCAATATACACTTATTGGGATTTTTTTTTACCAAAAACATGTAGTAGAATACATTTTGGCCTAAATTTATAACTAACTTTGAGTTTACTATATATTTTTATAGCTGAAATTAAAAAATATTGTTTTTCTTCAAATTTTCAGTCTTTTTTTGTTTATAGCATGAAAAATAAAAAGCGCACAGGTGATCAAATACCACCGAAAGAAAGCTCTATTTGTGTGAAAAAAAGGACGTAAATTTTGTTTGGGTGCAGCATTGCATGACCGTGCAATTAGCAGTTGAATTAGTGCAGTGCCGAGCAGCAAAAAGAGGCCTGGTCAGGAAGGGGGGTAAATCCTCAGGAGGGCAAATATATATATATATATATATATATATATATATATATATATATATATATATATATATATATATATGTGTGTGTGTAATCAATCTTTATAAAGATGGAAAAGGATATAAAAAGATATCCAAAACCTTGAATATGCCAGTCAGTACTGTTCAATCACTTATTAAGAAGTAGAAAGTTCTGGGATCTCTTGATACCCAGGCAAGGTCGGGTAGACCAAGAAAGATTGCAGCCCCAACAAAGAAAAACCCACAGGTAACCTCCGGAGAAATACAGACTGCTCTGGAAAAAGATTTGGTGTGTGTGTTTTATTTTTCTAAGGAGCACAATACAACAATGCCTAACAAAAATTAGCTGCATAGTCAAATTGCCAAAAAGTAGCCTTTACTGTAGCCTTTACACAGAAAAGCTTGGTGAGGCATGTCAAGGTGTTGTGGGGCATATTGTAACTGGGATTTTTTTGTGGCATTGGCTCAGTAAAGGCTTCTTTCTGGGAACTTGACTATGACTATGAATATAATTTTTATTTTAGAATGGATCGTGGCCATCTTGTTGTTTGGAAACTTCAATATTGATTTAATTTGGATCTTGGTTCATTTGGATTTTAGCTGCTTAATTCTACTAAGCTATGAGGTGGTCCTGTTTTTTCTTTCTACCTATGCATTTGGGAGAATTAGAACATCTTTTTGGCTGAAGTGCTGAAGTGTATCACAGTGGAAAAGGTCCAGTTTAGAAAACATTGGGGATCTCCGGCCGTGAT